AGTGATTCAAGGAATCTATGGAAGGATTCTTATATTTACATCTGTATTAACCATTAATCCTGTTGCACTGGCACAGGGGCACCGTAGTGTCTTCAAACGTTCTCTTGTACTTCAGCAACGTCTATACAGCAAATCTGACAGCAGATTCATAGAGAGCAACAAACAAATCATAAACTGTCTGTTTTAAAAAGATGGTCAGTCCGTTCTGGCGAACTCGATCGAGCTTTTCCAGTCGCACCTGTGGCTCTTATGTTTTCGTCTCAGACGCCTAAACAGACCTGATTTGCAGAAGATATTCCTTCAAAGCCCATTTTATTATTGCATCTGTGTAATGCTACAGTTAAGCTTCATAATAAAAAAATTTAAGTAATCCATTTTACCAAGAAATGTGGCATTTTCATGGTCCACAAAGCCACAAATGAGCATTCGTTTGAAGTGTGAGTATTTTTATCTGCTCTGGTATTTAAGAGTTTCCCTGTTTTTTTGGAAAAAAAAATTTTTCTAAATCATCGCTGAAGGATCATAAAGTGTGTTTGAAGAAGAACATGTACATGAGCTGATGCTGCACAGAGTTCGACATAACTTGGTGATTTTGTAATGGAGCAAATCAGTCTAACGAGATCAGCCGACAGTCTGCTCTTTGTCTTTAACCCAAACCTGTTAACACCATGAACACCATGAAAACTATATATATATTTCTGCTGCTCCTGCACTGCGTTATTTTTACTTTAAAAATTACTCTTTTGTCCATATTTGTCCACGAAATCAAAACAAAGTAACTCATGTTCTGGTCAGAACTGCTACTTTTCACCTGCATCACCAATCTTTTTAATTCAGCTTTATTTATATAGCAGAAAATCACAACAACAGAGTTTGTGAGGTTGATGTCGGTGTGAGAGGAAACTTAGCAAAGCTACAATGACGTGAAATTTGAGAAAATTGACACAACTAGTTCATTTTAATAACGACTAACTCGATTTAGCGATAGCGCCACAAATAAGTAAAACCTGTGTCCAAACACAAGGACGGGATGGGCGCAGCTTTTTACTTATAAAAACTAGTGCGAGGTAATCGTAGCTTGGATCCATGTGCTTCCCAGACTGTATGTAATACTGTAGAAGCAGCTCTAAACATTTAGAGTGACAGCCTGCAGGAAAAACCCAAAGTTCTACACCACGCTCACAGCTGGGAGCTGCCCCCTGGGGGAGCTGCAGACTTGTTCTGATAACACTTTAAATGAGCATTCCCAGCAGCAATCATTGCAGTCATGTCAATAAATAAATAGTGTATACCATAAACTTTATATTTAAATATTTCCTTCCTAAATTTGAGCTGTAAAACAGATACGATACATGAGCAATATGGTGAGCTGATAAAACATGTTTTCCATCACTATGTTGTAACTGCGCCTCCTGACAGCAGTTTTTAAATACACACGAGGCTTGTTAAAATTCAGTTGCATCCGTCTTTTGCCTAGAATACAACAGAAGAAGGACGGGCAGAGCGTTTATCGTGACAGAGAGGATGTTGGGATTGGGTGAGATGAGGCAGATGAGCCCAAAAGTGCAGAAACATGAAGACTACAGACACAGCAAACACCGGCCACTAAGAAAAAACACATATTCCACTCCCCAACCAGTTGCCAAGTGGTTGCTGCAAAGAGCGTGCTGCACCGCTGCAACCATGCCATTTGAAAGGCGGAACTTTTATTTTCAAAAGCAAACTTCTCGTTTCTGCTTTCACACTTTTAAGAGATTTCAACCTGCTTGACATGTTGTCATTTTCCATACTGACTGCTGCCAACTGCAGCAATCTGCAGGCAGCCTGTACACTCTTTAGTACCAAATAATGGCAGCAACCTCCAGCCACGCACCAACCAGTCACAGCCATTTTTCCCTACAGACCAGCGGCTGCGTGTGAGGCCTTGATTACAGACAGCAAGGTGAGACGCACTGCTTTGAACATTAAGATTTAATTGTGATGTTTTTGTCACCCTGCTGTTTTCAAAGAAAGAGAATCTGCTAGATGGGGTCGACCTCAGGTATTAGAGTAATAAATCCTTTACGCTGTCTGATTTCAAGGGCAGTTCTTTTGATTGTGGAATGGTTCAAGGCTTTGGTAATAAATGTGCAGAGAAAGGAGAAAACAAATCATACTGTGCAAAATAATGTTATGTAGTTACACTACTAGACTATAGTATTATGTAGCATGATGCTACGTGTAACAGCTTATTGAATTTAGGTGGTGGTTGATGAGAGTCTGATCAGAACGACAGTGTACGGTTTCGAGCTGCGTGATTACATAAAGCATCTGTGCCGAGGATAAACACAATTCCCACCTGACAAAAAGTTCCTGCTAACCTTTGAAAACAAGTTGTGACCAAGATTTCAGGTCAATGAATAAATGAGAATAAAGTAAAAAGCAGGCGACAGTGATCTTTGATCTTGTCTATTAAATACAGACAGTTTCAGCATGGTTTTGGCTGACGGTGAAAGTCAGTGACGCTGATCATTTTGACCGGGATGGACTTTTTCTGACAGATTACGGGCGTTTTCTTGCCGGGGCCTTTGCGGTGCACCCCACTGTGCGCTCGCAGTGGAAATAAATGAGGGTCCTGGATTTTCTGACACAGCTCTATTGTGGTTCTAAATGCAGCCAAGAAAAACCCAGAATAAAACCCAGCGAGAAAAGTTAAACCAAAGCCGTGCTAAAGCGTAGACAGATGAAAAATAGCAAACTTGCAACAAAAGCACCAGTTTTTTTATTACAGCATTAAAACGGTGACATTTTGGTCAGAGCTGCCTCCACATGCTAGTTTGCAACCTTCGTGTCACTTTTTCTGCCGTTTTGTAGTTGGAGCTGTTTTCTGACTCGGATAATTTTGCATGTTTCTGCAGCTCTTTGCATCTACCCTGCATCTTCAGAGTCACGTTACATTGTGTTATGGAAGTTTGGGATCTGTCTGTAGCTGTCATGCATCTCTTTTAAATACTCTCCATCTCTCTATCATGATTCTGCCTTCTCTATGAGCATTTGTATGTTCGAGGCTTTTTTACATCTCTTTATATTATTGTCCATATCTTTGTAACTGTTCTACTTTCTGTATTGATGCTTTGCATCTCTATTTGAGCTTATTTGTAGCTGTGGGCGTTTTATTTTCTGTGCATTCGTTTTGTGTCTCTTTGCATATCTTTATGGTTATTTGCATCTCATTATGGACATCTTATTTCTCTCTGTAGCTATTATGCACAGTCTCTTTATTGACGTTTTGTATTTTTGCATAACTTTATGTTATGGTTGTTTTGTTTCTCCTTTCTCCAGTGATTTTGCATCTCTTTATGGACACTTTGGACCTCTTTGTGGTTTTTGTGGTGGACTAATGGACCTATGTTCCCTTAGCCTGTGCACAGCAGCCTTCAGTAATCCTTCCATTCTTTATTGTAATGGTGAATGTATGGTTGAGTATAAGCTTAACTTGGTGAACTCTACAAAACCCAATAGATCTGCTGAAATTAAAGGTTGTTCAGCCGTGACCATGCTTCTGCTTTCTGTCTGTTTAATATTTACATATTTTTGCTCATTTCTCCAGTTTTACACTCCGATCCTCCAACCTGATTATGAGAGCAATTGGAGTCACGGACAATGTAGGCCAGGTGAAACAACATGTATACTGACATCCAATTGTTATTCTCTTTCCATGAGCCGGTCAGAGCGCTGATAATGAGAGCCTGGGGACCAGGCTGAGGCTGCTTTGTGTAATGGAGAGAGACAGTGTTTATAAGGTTCCTCAATTACTTATTAATATTTGAATACACAAGTTATACTACATCCAAAGATGGATATGTGGCTAAGCGTTGTTTCTGGTGGGTAAGGTTGGCTCCCTAAACCCCAGACGTTTGCACTTGTATTTAAAAAGATGACTCAGTTTGTGCAGTTCTTACTACTAATCAACTGAAATCACATTTGTTATGTATGGTCATAATCACATATAACCAATGTGATTTGGTCATAACTCAAATGAGTTTGACATGGCAGGTCTACACAGCTTATAATGTTACATGACCAGCTGTAAATAATAATGATGATAACAATAAATTGTGTTTACACCACTGAGCGTGAGATTGGCATTTCTAAGTGCAAATGGACCCTCTAAGATTTCAGAGGATCAGATTTATGTGCCAGCTGATTCTCTTTTCGTCTCTGAAGTGCTGCTGTTCCTTCTAAGCGCCACAGGAAACAGCCAAACTGATGTCACTGTGAGTGTGAGGAGGCGCCCGACATCAGACCTACATATACCTGTGAGTGTGCAGCTGTGTTCAGGCGCACACAGACATATTGTGCAGGTGTAAGCCGATGATGAGCATGAACAGCCTCTCAGCCCTTCTCCCCCCATCCATCCTCCCTCCCTCTCTCCCCTATAATCGTGGGCTAATTCACCCAGCCAGATTTGGCAACAGGCTTATAGAGTCATTTACACAACAAGCATGACCTACGCAGACGGCGCAGCGTGACTATGTTTCCCCAAACATCCGCACACAGAATGAGCTTTAAACACATTTATCACCAATGATGAAACATCGACATCTCCAGTTTCTTGCTGAAAAAATTCATCCCAGTGCCCAGATTTTTTTCCCTACAGCCACGACGAGAAACGTGAAGCACACATGTTTTCCATACAGGGCAGTCTTATTTTCTCAGACAAAGCCTCCTTTCTGCTTGTTTCTGAGTGCGTCCTCGGGCTTAACTTCCCGTGATGGCGGTGAAATTTATGGGCACCGCATTGGTTCGTTAGCAGCTACTGCAGGAAACAAGTAGGTGTCTGGCAGTAGGAGCAGGTGTCCGTGGGAATGGTTCGTGCTTTTTGTGTGATGATTAATCCGTCAGCCGTCCCCCGAATATCTGCTGGTTAACAGTGTGTGTGTGTGTGTGTGTTGTGTGTGTGTGTGTGTGTGTGTGTGTGTGTGTGTGTGTGTGGTGTGTGTGTGGCCTGCAGACCTTACCGCTGTGCGCGCTGAACCAGCGGGGTGCGATGTGCAGGGGCAAGGTGTCAGCCAGCGACCCCGGACCCCAGATACAGCACCCCGTCCGTGTGTGCCCTCCGCCCCAGTGTCCTGGTAGCCGGTCCCGTGAGGGGCCGCGGTAGTGCCCCTGACCCCCCTCCGGCTCGATCCGAGTCCGTTCCTCTTGGGGTGTAGAAGCCGAAGGGCACGCGGGACTGTGTTCGATGCCCATCCAGCCACGGAGCTCACCGAGCGGCTCGCAGGCCCATGGTGCCGCTCGGCCGGTAGTGACCAAAGTGGGCGAGGGGGCACGCGCTGTCATCCGTAGAGACACGGGAAAAGCACCCGGGGCCGCCCCGGTGCTCTGCTTTCCCCCCATCCAAAGCGGGGAGAGTGGGTGGGGGTTCTGGGTGGTACAGGAGGGGCTCGGCTCGATCCGCAGAGGGCAGGCTGTGCCCCTCCCTCGCTCCTGTCTGTCTGTCGCTGCCTGCCTGCCTATCCGTCCGTGTGTGTCGGCAGGCTCGTCAGCTTGACTCTCCGCAGACGCAACAGCCCGTTTCCTGCTGAGCGGAACTGAGCCAGCCCTGACGTCTGGATTCACCTCACCCGCACACACCACCGGGAGGAACGAGCGGAGAGCGTTTGACTGACGCCGAAATCCGCGCTCCGCGAACAGATGCGCGCGCTGCGCTGCTGCCCTGCTGTCCCGGCTGGTTAACGCGGCTGTCTCATCGCAGGCGGCCGGCCCGGATCACAGCAGCGCCGCAGTGTTCCTCCGCTGCTCTGCCCTCATCTGATCTCAGACATCGTGAAATGTTGCTGTCTGTCTGACCGCCAGCAAACGACGGTCTGTCTCTGACACCACACGCGCGCAACACACAAATAAATGACGTCGTCCGTCCGTCTGGTGGGCTCGCTTTTTTTCCCACCCCCGAGATCGGGGTCACAGTGAAGCCGCTCCCCTGCGCTCAGATCGGCGCTCCGCTCCTCTCCGCTCCGCCTCAGCCGCGCTGCTGCTGCTGGCCAGACAATGGACCGCTTAGTGCGCAGGCTCGGATAAAATACAGACAGTATGGGAGACAGATGCACGCCGTTTCTAATTCCCCGACATGGGATTGGCCTGTTTTTCTTTCTTTTTTTCACATGTGGATTATGGGGCATTTTAGGACAGGACAGGTGTGACGGCGGTGGAGGGGAACGCACCAGGTAGCCGAAGAAAAAGCAAACAACAAAGGAAACAAAAGAACTGACATAAAAATACACAAGACAGAATAATTTAACTGCTCTGATCGCTCGTTAGTTATCGTCCAGTATCTGTCCTGTCACAGATATATCGCTCTAGCTATGAAGTTTCTACATTATCAGACAGTCACTTTATGGTTACGTGGTATCGTGCTGGATTTGGACGAATTGAGAATAACTATCTATATGAGAAATTAAAAATGTCACGAAACAGTCTGAAAAATGATTTGAAATCCAGTCAAGTCTTAAGTTCGATGATTTCATGGTAGGGCTGACCTCCAGAATAAAGTCGTACAGCAGCATAATATGTTTAATTCCACTGACATCCTTTCAGTTCACCTTTGCAAGGAAAGAGCAGCAGGATGTGACCGAACCACTTTGAGGTTTATGAAGGGGAGTCCTTGTTTGTTAAAACTTTGAACTCTATTGTTTTACAACTCCAGAGCTGTATATCATATTTTGTGTTCACCATTATAAACTATGGTTTACAATGATGCACTGAGGAGGAAAGCACTGTTATAAACAGTCACAGGTCTTAAGAGTTGGATTAAAAACATTCGGGAATATATCTGAATGGTTGGTGAATCCCCTCTCAGATTAAATTCTTAATTAAACATTAATTAACCCTTTTCTTCTGCATCGTCGATGCTCCTCTGCTGCTGCCCCACAAGTCAGGCCTTAAGTCTTTAGTCCTGCAGACTGATGTCATTACCAGGCTATTCACAGATTTTGCCACCATCCTGTATGCTAAGTTATTGGGATCACTGTGACCATGTTTGGTTTGGGATTAGCCTGCTCCGTTTAATCCTGCATTGTGTGTCTGGTGTGTAATTAGGCTGGTTATATTCTCCTTGGCTCTTGTTCTTCCACAGTAAAAACAAGTCAGACCTCGTGCAGCCTTCTTGGGTTTACTACCATAAGGTAAACTATTGTTGAGTACTACAGTACAGTAGGTTTAATCTATCCCGCTATAATGACAGCAAGCCTATAAATGGATCCCTCTCTGCTCCACAGGCATGTAAACACACAAAAGCCAGACACACACAATCAGCTCCAGCTGATTTAAAGCACCGCTGCAAAATAGTGGAATAAGGGATAAAAACAAAAATACAGCTTAAAGTAAAAAATCCCTGAAATGAGGGGCAAAGGTCAAAATACAGGCCACATTATTAAATCAGGCTAATGAATACATTGTTAAAGAAACAGTGGTAATGTACAGCTCCATGGTTAGCTACTATTAATAATTATCTAAAGGCACCAAGTTATGATGACATATTGTGACTATTCTAGATAAAGGAATAATATAGACTACAATAGCCCTTTATTGTCATTGTACATGTACAACACAAACTGTGAGGGCTCCTCATGACTCACAATAATTAAAAAAAAAACTGGTAAGAAGGAGTGGGGGGTAATTTCGAGAAAAATGTTTTTAGGGCTTAAAGTCATACATTTATAATAAAACACTGAGAAATCTTAGAGGAAGATTAAAAACCTGAATATTCTATAAGATTACAAAGGCTGCTGTCCAGACCCTGCAAATTCAAGGAATATGGGAACCAGAACAACATACAGAAATAATAAATATAAATGTAAAATTTATTTTCTTCCAAAGAAAATAAAGATTTTTATTTATTTATTTTATTAATTTCAGAATAGCCCCACGTCTCATCCCATTACAGCTGCTGTGATAGGCTCTAATGCAGTACTAAGAAGTAATAAATAAGCAAATATGGATTCAATTAGTCAGTTAGACATGAAATATTTAATTCACTTGTAGTTTTGATTTTCAGTATTAATGCTCATAAAGGTAATGGATGAACGCTTAAAACAGTTATGATGACAGCATTCAAAATGTAAAAACAGTTAAGTAAATGTAAAGTATATAATAACAAAGCAAAAAATGAGCCATGTTAGATAAATATAAAACACTGAAACATGAGCAGTGTGTTGGTGATTATACTAATATGACAGGTCTGGATAAAAGGCCCAAAATGAGTAGAAATCACTGGTGTAGAGGTTTACATGAGATCTTAGTAACACTGATAACAGACAACATCACACACAGAATGTAAAATGACTAAAAGAAACAAGGTTTGCTACACAGTCTCCACACAGGAAAAATTAGAAGAGGAAAAACTGCTTTTTGACACAGAGGATAAGAAATCAACGTTAGTAAAACTAAAATGCTTCCCTTGCTTCTCATGCTCTCTCTCTCTCTCTCTCTCTCTCTCTCTCTCTCACACACACACACACACACACACACACACACTGCACCAGTATAATAAAAAAATCAAGCTCACAAAAACACAGTGTAAGCAGGTTCTCAGCCAGTTTTCTTTTTAATAGTTCCAGCGAATCCATAACCAAGAAAATTTTAGTGCCACCTTTTAACAAGTTGCCCATATACATTTAATACATTTATAAAGGAAACGTGACTTCTTACTTTATTTAATGTTAACAAATTTGACATGTTTGGTCCGCAGCTGTGAAGAATCTGAGTCAAAAATCTGTTTATTAAAGTATAACTAAACATTAACTCTCAATGAGTGGATTACCAAAAATACCCTAATGAAGTAAAGGATTCATTAACACCCTTAATAACATTCTCAACATATCATCATTAGTTAGTTTAGTCATAAAAGGCCACTTAACAGAGGTGGTGAAAACTGGATTACCAGCCCATTTCTGCTATATTTGTATATTTTTTTCAGGTAAAATGGGGAGAAAATAGCGTTTTTCTTTTGCATGTGTGGATTTTTTTCAAACCCACATGAAATATAACTTTAGAATGTATATTGCACTTATTTATTTTCTTCTTTTGTCTTTTTAAATGAATGCATGGTCTCTTTGTGATCATTTTGTGGTTGTTATTAATTATAAGTTTCAATGCATCTTTTTTAAAGGCCTCCTGAACCATCGTCAAGGATTTCACGGAAAACAAATATGACTTATTAGAAAGGCTGCAGGAAATAGTCACTGAACTGTAGACTGCTTAAACAGCTATGCAAATCAATAAGAATAAAATAAACAGAACTCAGAGTGAGCTATAACAAAGTCACGCAGTGTTTTTATTTAAAAGGAGATTTGATTGTAGCTCAGTGGCTGTGCGAGTGTGTTAGTGCTCTTCACGTCTTTCTTAATGTTCAGTTAGTGGCTGCAAGCTGGGAAAACAATAGTTACAAAGCTGCCGAGGCAGAAATGAGCATTATATTTTGATCTTCTGGCTGACACGCTGCAGGTTTGTCTCTCAAGGATGCACCACTGACACCGTGTGGTGGTGTAGAGCGTTGCTTCATCACAGACAGAAGGAAAAATCCAGGTACAAAGACGCCTGAAGGTTCATTTGGCTCTGATAATTTTCTTGTTTAATGGTTTGTGACATAAAACGCAGTGAATCCAAATGATGGCAACTTAAATTACTTGAAGTTTGCTCGCTTCCTTGAAAGCTGCCTCCATTCCGGTTAGCGGACAGTGAAATGAATTTAACATGCTGAAAAGCTAACATGTTTGCTTTTCTCACTTTTATGTAGCTTCTTAACAATAGCCAACTTTGTAGCGCTCAAATGCAGCGCTCCAAATTATTAGAAGTTACTGTACTTTTGTCATTAATGACTCCTGACAACCTATATCAGGGAGGTCAAAGATAAGGCCTGGGGCCTAGAATCAGGTCGTCAAAGATGGATCTGTCCCACTGTATAGCTTTGAAAAATGTGAAAGAGGGCAAAGATTTTGGACTTTTAAATATATCTTAACAGGTTTTTCAGCTTTTCCTGCTGATGCAGACCTCACCCATGGACATTCATCCTACATTACATTCTGTGAATTAACAAAAACTTTCAGTTTCTTTATGTAGGTCATCATGGTCAAGGATTTCACTGAAACCATTGCATACTGTGATTTATTTAAAGTATACAACATATAGTCGCTGAATTCTAGATACTCTTTAAACAGCTATGCAAATCAATAGAATAATGGAGTCCTGTGTCAAAATGCTCATCTGCAGTTAGGTAAAGTGTTTACAAAAGCAAAAGCATAAAAACTGTAGTGTCTACTTTCAATGAAAGTATTCAGCAGGCAATAAACAGGTTGAACAGCACTTGGAGTGATTCCACATATTAGACATTAATTTTAATG